CATGAGGCTCTCTCTGCTGCTTCCCCCAACCTGCAAGCAGCCATCTCCCTCCCCCTCCCCACCACACCCAGAGCCTGTTCCATGCAGACTGAGCAGGGAAACCTTTGCAGCCAACCTTGATGGGAAACAGGCAAGTCTGCCACCACTTGTCCCTGCACTGGTGGATCAATTCTTAGTACTTGGTGTCTTTCCTTTCACAGACCTTGTCATGCTCCTCCTCCCACGGGACAGTCAATTCCACCAATATGATTTTCCTTGCCTTCTCAGACAACAGAACCAGGACGGCTCTCCAGGATTTTTGGACAACCTGGGGAAACTGTAGTTTCCTCCCCAGATCCACTCTCATCTCCCATTCCTTCAATGTCAGAAGTGGGCTTGTATTGGTATTCTGGGAAGCTGATAGTTTTTCTACTTCCCTTATGAACTGGATGGCTGGAACTGCTTTTAACTGGATCTGCCGCATTTTTCTTCTTTCCAGCTTGAGGATTTTGGCCAGTGTTCGGAGGACCTTGTCATAGCACCACCGGTATCATCCCTGGCAGAGGGGGATCATACAACCCATCAGTATGTGCGCTCTCTCATTCCCCATTTGTGCAGGTGCGCTGGAGTGTGTAGGGTGTCATACACTGACCAAAGCAGGCACGAAATTCGAAAGAGCTCAAGTCTCCAGCAATCCATCCATTTGATCTTCCTCTGCGACAGGTCCCATTTTGACCAGGCTTCTTGTGTGCCCAGTTTTGCAGCTCTTGCCCATCACCTCTCCTCCTCGAGGTGTCGGACTTCTGCCTGGAGCGTTTCTCTCCTCTGCCTGGACTCTGCCTGGCTCCATTGCTGGTAATGTGTGATGCCGAGTCCCTGCCCATGCGCGGGTTTCCAATGATGTCTTTCATATTCAGCATGCTCTCCGACTGTGACACTGAGGTTTCAGTGGCCCACTTGCGTCCTTGTCTTGTAGTGATGCCTGCACCTCTGCATCGCTAGAATCTCGGAACATCGTCAGAACTCTGCACTTTGCAACCTTGAACACTTCAACCACTGATGACAAAGGTAGCTGTAATTGGCCAGACCACATGTAGAGCCCTACTGACGTGAGGCTTAGTGCAATGCAAAGCCACCTGCGGAGGGGTTTGTTCACTTGCCTTTTGACCCCTTCCACTGTTGTCATTGGCTCTTCATAGATTGTAAGTAGCCACATGAGCCTTGGTAGAGACCATTTTGGTATAGCCAGGCTTTAAACTTACCAAGAACACAAGATCCTTCAATCTTCCTCAGCCAGAAGTTCACCTATCTGGGGCACATAGCTTCTGTCTGAGAGAGAGGGATCATACCACTTTCCTAGACACTTTATTGGACTTTACTCCACTGATAGGATAGCCTTCTCCTGGATTTGGAGCTCAAAACCACTGGTCACTTTCCCCTTTCTGATGACCACACTTCTTAACTTTTTAGAATAAAAAGCTGTCAAATGCTGAATATACAGTATAGCTACAAATATGTAGAGCAGCACAAGATATCGAGTATATTCTCGTGCAGTAGGTAAACAAGCATACGATTTTCAAACGCAGCTGTTGTTGCCTTTGCAGACACCCAGCATGCATTAGATATTTTTTAAAGCTACAAAAATGTGTCAAAGAAGTATCTTTAAAATAATAGATAATGCAATCAATAAAATGCTGTATTATTGTCCACAAAATCATGGCGAGCGCCTTAGTGAAAGTAAGCAAAGTCAATAAGTCTACGTGTGCACTGTCTTCTTATGCACATATCAGAGCTCCGACACAGGGTAGCAGTATTGGCTTTCATTTGAGACGACTTCTTTTGAATGATAGTGCCTTTTCTCATCACACCTACTTGCGGCTGTGGCATAGCATGCACACGTGTAAATAAATTCAGAAATGGATGGATAGATTTTCAAAAGACACATCTGGCAACACTCCGCTCACTCACTCCGGGATAAATTTGACCCGACACGTCTGGAAACACTGCCGCACCCTCACACACAAATGAATTTGGCTCGATAATCTGGCAACACTGCCAGCCACTCACGTCCGCATGAATTTGGCTCGATGATCTGGCAACACTGTCACCCACTCATGCCCAGATTAATTGAATGAACTAAGTTATTACATTATCGGTTGAGTGTTATTACATTATCGGGCAGACACTTTTTATTACATTATCGGTCAAAATGTTACTACATCATCGGGCAGGCAGTTATTACATTATCGGTTGAAGTTATTACATTAACGGTTAATTTTATTACATTATCGGACAGTTATTACATTATTGGTCCGTTGTTACATTATCAGTTGTAACAACGACCAACTAATATCCACAACCCCATTCAATGTTTGAGCAAGAACGTTAACCAAAAAATAGGAAGCAACACTGGCCAGAGTGGGGCTTTAAAACAGAAAAAAATGAATTAGATTCTAAAGTAAAAGGCCAGGAATTTTTACCGTGGTCTATACTGAAAAGCCTGTAATTCATTCTATCAGTCAATCCTTCGAATGGTAAGAATTGGCAAAACAGAAAAAAAATTATAACACAGAGAAGCTGCCACCCCACCATGACTCTTTAGTCACTAGATAGGAGGCAATGTTGACAGCCTGCTGAGGAATAAACCAATCAGTGATCAGTTCTCTGCTGGGGACCTTACATTAGAGTTCTGAGGAAGTTAAAGGGATAGTTCACTTTTTTTGAAGTGGGGTTGTATGAGCTACAAATTGCCATTACTTACATTAGATGCAATAGAAAGCTCTCTGATCTCCTCCAGGTAGCCGTACCAGCGCAGTGCTGGGTGGAAATTTAGGCGATACACTGTTGTGAACGGGACCAGGGAAACAGCGTATTTTTGCGGCCTAAAAGAGGTCCTACTTGAAAATAATACACTATTTCAGTTGTGCGCTATATTAAAAAGAATTACAGCACTTTACCTGCTCAGAAAAAAAACACAGTTGCTCTTGAACTAACCAACTGACGTATTCCATCGGAGTAAACTGCGTGCTGTAGCGATCAGCTGATTGGGTCAGACTCTGAGCGGTTTGTGGCAGAGACAGCATTTCAATGATATAGAATTACGTCACAAATTTAACGAAAAAAAAAAATCCCTATAATAACCAGCACAGCAGATACACAGTATGTGGCTGCGTTGACCCTATGCGATATCAATTGGTGCTGCAATGTTACATTAGACTTTTTCACAGGTGTTTCACTCTCTTACCAGATGCATGGGTACAGCAGTGCTCTTCAGCGTGCACCACTGAGATTTCCCTGAATGTAGCCTCACGATATCCTCTTTGGAAAAATGAATAACACGGAGCTCTTTTAGGGATACGGATCAATATCCTTGTTGAGCGCAGCTATCCACAGCTGCCGAAGTCCATCCAGCAGAGGAATGCGGTGGAAGCTGTTAGTGCACCAGGATACAGCTTTGCTTTCACGTCCAGGAAAGCAACACACACGGACCATTTCCGAAATATCTGCACAAGTTTAACGACCATCCGACCTCGCAACCACAGTTAAGCCGCTTGCAGACTGGACGCGAAACGAATTTTTCGCAGGACAGATTACATTCAAAGTCAATGCGAAGACGCGAATAAACACATTTCGCGTGTATTCGCGTCTTCGCATTGACTTTGAATGTAATCTGTCGTGCAAAAAATTCATTTCGCGTCCAGTGTGCAAGCAGCTTTACTGTGACCACTACAGCACGCAGTTAACTACGATGCGCCGCGCGAGGACTACGTCAGTTGGTTAGTTCAAGAGCAACTGTGTTTTTTCCGAGCAGGTAAAGCACTGTAATTCTTTTTAATATAGCGTACAACTGAAATGGTGTATTATTTTCAAGTAAGACCTCTTTTAGGCCGCAAAAATACACCGTTTCCCTGGTCCCGTTCACAACAGTGTATCGCCTAAATTTCCACCCAGCACTATGCGCTGGTGCGGCTACCTGGAGGAGATCAGAGAGCTTTCTACTGCACCTAATGTAAGTAGCGGCAATTTTTAGCTCATACAATCCCACTTCAAAAAAAGTGAACTATCCCTTTAAGCAAATCAGTGTGAAACTGTAGCGAAGAACGCTACCGTTTAAGTGTTTTTTCGTTAAGATATCCATTTTTAGTCGTTTGTTCACATACGAAACGGGGATCTGAATTCGTCCAACAGCATTCAAATGTGTTCATCCAGAAAAAAGGCTACAGAAAATGTGCAATAATGCCAATCTGTGCAGCAATATGTTGTAATAATCAGGCAGGATGGAAAGATGGCAAGTGAATTACACTCCTAGGTGTAGATTGGTTAGGGATGATCGGGATGTTTCCCAAGCAGTGCTCAACTCGACCAACATTTTCAATGGGGAAAATGAAAGAGAGGCAGAATCGTAAATTTAACATGCTACAGTCTAATGTAATGTTAGTACCGCCGCGGTTTGCAGCTTTGTCCAATTCATAGACAGTCATTGGTCCAATCTGAAGTGTTTAACCCCTTTGCGCAGAATACATATAATTCCAATTTTTCCTGCATGAGCCTCTTGAGGCTTTATAATTCAGTATTGGTGTCACAGATACTGTGGAAAATTATTCCAGTAAAGCAAGACATTTGAGAATTGAATTACAGAATTATTTAAGTATTACATTTCAGAATTTATGGATGGCGGCAGCTAGATCTGCACATAGGGGATAATCTTGGCTATAGTCAATTCACAACTAATTCATTCATTCATTCTCTATACCCGCTTATTCCTCACTAGGGTCGTGGGGGGAGCTGGAGCCTATCCCAGCTGACTACGGGCAAAGGCAGGGACCCACCCTGGACAGCTTGCCAATCCATCGCAGGGCACACACACCATTCACAGACCTTTCACTCTCACACTCATACCAATGGGCAATTTAGTGTCTCCAATTAACCTGATATGCATGTCTTTGGACTGTGGGAGGAAACCAGAGTGCCCGGAGGAAACCCACGCGAACACGGGAGAACATGTAAACTCCACACAGAAAGGCCCCAGGCGGGATTCGAACCCACTACCTTCTTACTGTGAGGTGGCAATGCTAACCACTGCGCCACCAGTGAAAACAATACCACAAATAAATTTAGCTAAAAAGCTAAATATAGCTATTTATATAATATTATAATATTATAATATTAATAGCTACAAGGACTGAGCGACATTCGGGGGTGCGCAGAGGTGATTTGCAGTGGTCAGTGAAGGTTGTGGAAAGGTAACTAATTTCAAACATTAGCTGATACTCAAGTACTAGTGATATGATATGGCAGTCAAAGGAGAATTCACCTTTGTTGAATGCGAACTGAGCATTTAATAATGAGTAACTGAGTAATGATAAACTGCTAAGCATGAATCACTTGAATAGGAGATTTTACTTTTAATCCGAGCATCTTGATCCCAAAATGGCCTCATGTTAGGTGGCGCTATTGAGCCACCAGGGCATGCCAAAGCTCAATGGATATGCTGACTTTGTCAGTACGCAAGAATGAACATATGTGTGAAATTTGGTGGAAATTGAATGATGTATGGGCAAATTATAGCAATCTCGTGTATGATGGCGAGACATCAGAATTCACCATGTAATCACAGCTACTCCTTATCAACAAAAACTCACCATTTCAAAAAAATTTTGATTGCACAAGACTTTACATGACCCTGACCAAATTTGAAGTCATTTGGAGGAATTAATTCAAATACGAGCCCTCCAAATATTAATGGTTTAAGGAAAATTGGAAATGGCGAATTTCCTGTTGGATTTCGGGTCAGACTCCTAGACTTTTTTGAAGATTCTGGGACGATACATCATTCTGCAAAGTTTTTGTGACTGTGGGTTAAACGTAGTTTTGCCAATTTTCCACTGAATATAAAAATTCAAGGTGGAGCCAGCGAGCGATTTTGATGTGTTCATTTGGATAAGCAATATAAAATTTTTTGCCAAATCTATGCATGTGCCAATTTTGATGACTTTCTGCCCAAGGGAAAGGCCTGAAAATGCGATTTTCATTTATGAATAATAAAAAATAATGATGATAGTAGTAATAATAATGATAATAATAAAATAAACACTATAGTTACAATAGGGTCCTCACATCCTCAGTGCTCGGGCCCTAATAAAAAATTGCAAGGTCTTCACTGGATGCCGCCATGTCAGGAATCCTCTAATCAGCTATCAACGCAAGAGTTGTAATGATGTTGAATAAGCGGAATCAAAAGCAGATGATGTGATAGATTTTTTATTGCAACGACTGGCTACATTCCTACTAAACGCCCATTCAGGACAAAGTTATTACTTAGATGTCAAAGAGCAGAAAGCCAGGCAAATAACACCACATAATGCTTGAAGGGGGCGTGGTAATTATAAGTAATATCATTCCATCTGTGACTCCTGAAAGACATACTAACTAATGAGCACAAATTATCAAACACTGTGTACTAAAATACACAATTCTTCTGACTGCATACTGCATTTGGCAGACTACAAATGAATATTATTTGCAAGAGTACACAGAGTTTACTGTTGCAATACAAGAACGCGCCAAGGTGACAAAATATTCATAAGTCTACTCACCAACACTATAAACTGTACAATCCAAGGTAAATAAAAATGGGCCAAGCCCAAAATGGCAAACTATAAAGTTTTAAGGGGCTTAACAAGAAATTGTTGGTCAAATATAGTCCTGAGACCTTCTGTGCCATCTTTCGCTTGTTAAAATTTGGTGCTTTGAATGGTTTGGGAGAAAAGCTGGAAACAAGGAAATTCACAAATACATTCTTCTTCAGCTCAAACCGCAAAGGTAATATCATAATGATTAAAATGATTGATATAAAATTCAAAATGACACATCTGGAGAAAACAATTTTCCCAGAATAAAATTTGAGATTTTTTGTTTTAAAAAAATCTTAGTTATTATTCTTTCTGGCACACCTGATGCAGCACTTCTAAGGTCACCACTCATGAATGGATTCAGGAGTGATAGAGTACAGAGATCTATAATAAGCAATTTTGCAAGACCAAATGTAAAGGAATGAGAAAATCTGCTCCAAACAGCAAAATATCATACTAGAGTTGCCTTCAGACACCGCATAGCGCCTTTTCATCAGGCCAACTGTAGCTATTTTGAAATTTAAAAGACCTTAAAGGCAGAGAAAATCACCAAAAAATCACCATACCATTTTGACTGCGTCTCTACCACAGTGAAGCGTGGATGTGGTGGTGTCATGGTGAGGGAATCTTTCCACCTGCAGGTGCCGGTGAGTGGTCTCAATGCTTAAGAGCACAGGACAATGTTGCAGAAAGGCTAGCTTCAATAATAGAAAAGTTTTTGTCCCCTTCTCTAGAGGGGAATAATGTTATTTTTCAGCAAGTCTCCTGCCCACAGTGCAAAGAACACCAAAAACAGGCAATGTTTTTGCCTGGCCAAAGTCAAGATTTGAACCCTTTCGTGAAAATTTGGCCTCAAATTAAAGAAACTAACCTGAAAAGCAATTTATAAGCTACTCAGAAACTGTTTGAAGCCATAAACACAGAGTATTACAACACTGATTTATCTTTCTGTAAAATCTGTCTTCAAGTTTACGCACAAGGCTTCAGCATTTAAAGAAATCAAAGAGAAAAGCAATCACCTTACTGAGCTTTATCTGTTTGTTTGATTCCTGCTAATTTATTGATCAATGATGTGTTTTTAAAACCATTAAATGCATCATATTTTGTCATTTTGTGCTTTGCCCCTTTTTTCTCTGGAGGAATAGTTAGAGTATTTTTAAATTAAATGCATTTTTATTTCAATCATTCAGCAGGATGGCTGCATGGCTTTACTGGACCTCCTTTCTGTTAAACAGGCTCAATATTTGCTAAAATTGTTTTAATTTAATAATTAGAGGTGCCACGTAACTACTTATCCTGCCAAAGGGATACATTTTAGTGCCTCAAGAGTTGATTAACCAGATGCCTCAGACATTTCACCCCTACAGCTAAGCCTACTGATGTCACATCACAGTGTAGCATGCGGTTGGAAGCGGAACTGAAAAATGAATGTTTTGAATTCAGTCAGAAATTGATCGGAGCAAATCTAAGGTAGTTATTGTGACAAAATGATTTTCAGTTTTTCAGTGAACTTTTTTTTGTGCAACACTGCTGACAGACAAACAAATGCCACCAAAAACAATACCACCTCCCCGTTTGGACAGGGTAACTAATAATTAAACAGAGTGTAAGCAAGGCCACATAAACACATTTATTTCTGCAGCTGCTTTCAAAAAGATCAAGCAAAACCTCAATTTCACAAGAATTAAAATGGTATGCATAAGTGATTTGAAAATCATCTTCTTCCAATATTTAGTTGAAAACAGCACAATGAAAAATATTTTAAGTTTCACAATATTAACTGAATTTATTTTTGTAAATATTCGTAAATTCCAAATTTGATGCTTGGAACAGGTTCCAAAACACTTGGGACAGGAGTGTGGAAAAACTGGAAAAGTTGTGGAATCTTCATAAAAACACATTTGGAACATACCACTGGTAAAAAGGTGAATAGGTAATAGATTATTCAAATGCAATGAGGCCTATAATGAGCAGTCACAAAAGGCACAGTTTTGTACCAGCAAGATGGTTTGAGGTTCGCGAAAAGCTGCGCGGGTAAGTCGTCAAACAATTTAAGATTGTTTCTCAACATGTGATTTTTGAAGCTTCTGTAAGTGATATATTTTGTTTAAAAGGTGTTAAATAGCTCCACGTTCCAACAGAGACCATTGATTTAGAGTGTTTGGTCCATGACGCAGGTCACTCAGTCACTCTCCTCTACATCAGAGCAGCATATTAAATCCTGGAGTCACCCAGTGCCTCTATCCAGTCAGGTGAGAAAACGCCATAAAGAGGCGGTCCTCTCTGCTCTTGAGCGCACAGAGAGCTGAATCTGTGTTATTGACAATGGCGGAGCAGATGAAGCTACCGATTTCAACGGTACGAGAGACAGCGCACACAATTAAACAGCCAAAGCACCAAAAAACAGCAGAGGAACAGATGGAGTCAAGAAAGAAAAGATGGGAGATGGCCAAGAAGGAATCCAAGGGTCTAGAAAGTAATGCGCAGCTAGCCTTACTGCTACTAGACAGGTAAGCTATGTTTTACTCTGTAGTAGTTATGCAGTTTTATTGGTCTCAGGTAGTCCTGTTGGTGGTTTTTAATCCTGCTAATGTTAGTTTATAAATGTACAGTCGTCATTTGAGGCTGACTACAGCTTGTTTAACTGTGTAACAACTGCAGCAAAACTTGGTAGCTATTGTTATTTGTTCTAAAATGGACTCCAAATGTCACCTGATACAAAGAGTAAACATTTGGCTGCAAAATATATGCTGATTCACACAGATTGGCAGTGCACAACTGTGTTGTAAAGTTGCATTGTTGAGTCATGACAAGGGAGACTGTTGTCTAACTATGATTGTAATGGCATGTATTTATATGAGGAAAAAATATGCTTAAAAAGGGCTACCAGAAGAGTGTTTTGTGATTTTTTTCTGTATCAACAATCTCCTCACCATATTCAGGGACGTCATCATGCCATTAGCTGTTTGTGTGGCTACAGAAAACTAGCTCGCTTTAGCTAATACTTTCAAAAAACCATGCAGAAGTTTCTGTATGGATGTAATGTGTCGTTGGTCCATGTTTTAAGTGCGGCTTTCACACGACAATCACCGAGAGTATTTGTTTATATTGTATTTACGGGTCTGAGGTAACGGAGTCACTGCCATGGTCGCTGCTCTCCATCTCTGCCTCTGTCAGAAACCGATGCGCGTTCATATGCGACTTGGGGATGGGGAGCGAGGACTGCTGACTTCGGCGACGGACAGGAAGCTAGCTAAAATGACAAAACCAGTAACAGCAAGGATGAACTGAATTTAGGAGTCTGACCATCAACAGTCTGTAATACAGTAGAAAGATTCAGAGAAACCACAGCGATCTCCATCCATAACAGACAGTCGAATATCAACATTGGATGCATGTGACCTTTGAGCCCTCAAACAGCACTGCATTAAGAACAAAGATGCTTCTGTAATGAGTGTAACC